AAAATATATTTATAATCTCTTACCTAATTTTATTTTTTCTCTGGGGAACTCCCACCTTATATCGTACGGAAGGAGTTCTGCCTGCTCATCTACTGTAAGTTCCGGATTCATCAAATCAAGTTTCCCTTCCGTAAACTGGGTAAGACTAGATTCTAATGAAAGTTTTTCTTTAAACTGGAAAAGATTATTTACTTAAAATGTAATTTATCTATATAATTAGTTTTTTGATTTGATATGTACGTGTGTTGATAATAATCAAATTTTTTTATTTACCTTTCCATGTTGGACTTGTAAGTAAAAGTAAATTGATAGAAAAGTAAGGATTGCGATGAACCATACTACTATTCCAATATAAAAATTAGTATTTGGATTTCCTACAACGAAAATTGATTGCTTTTATCAAAGAACTTTTTCCTGCTTTTAATATTAAATTCGGTCTATGCAATCAAATCGTTTATACTCAAATATTCGAAGCTAAATCATCATAACACAATCAGAATCCAGCTTTATACGTTAAAAGAAATATTTTTTTTTTTAGTCTGATCTCAAATTCTGAAGTTATATAGTTTGAAAAACAAAGAATTAGATGATTTATCTTCTACCACAATATTTAAAATAATAACTTGTATCTTCTAGAAAAAATTTATGCATTAACAAGTTCTATAAGTACTATTATAAATTAACCTTAAGCTACTAAAGAAACTAAACTGACACGAGGCTATCCTGACATATTTCAGATACAGCGCATCAAGCCGTTTTCGTTTGCATTGATTGTTTGAGAAATTTTCTGTCGATGGCTTGACCTTTTTTACGATAATTTTTTTTTTTTAGATACAACATTCTGCAATATATAAAACAATTAGAGATTCCATCCCTAATGGACTCAATGGCCATCCACTTTACAGGCAATTTGCCAACGCATTGCTTTTTGTACTTTTCGTCTTTGTACAATGTCTTTGCCAGACCAAAATCGCATATCTTAATAATGTTATTTTCTGCCAATAATATATTTCTCGCGGCTAAGTCACAATGTAGCACCT